ATATTCATCGCCGCGACTGGAAGTACCCTGATGGGCGCCTCTGGGTACCTCACCACCCACATCCGCGCGAGCTGGCGCTGCACGACCCTGATCCTGATGGCATCTGCAGGGACTGTCATACACCCACATCCTCGACAAGCGCGATCGCCGGCCGCGGTCTTGCCGCCATCCTCGAAGCAGAACGCGATGCACCGCCTGAGGAGGGCCTATCGCAACTGGAGCTGGAAACAGCCACACGGGTCGTCTTCGGCACGCCGGAAAATCCTCTCCCCGGGCCCGCTTCCCAGCACCTCCAAGGGATGCTTCGCGGCGTCGGTGTCGGCACCTTCGACGCACAAGGCAACCCACGGCCCTACACCGAAGAAAAGGCGGCAGCGATCTACGCTCATCGGCGCGATTCGAAGCAGAAACTCTCGCCGGCGGAAGAAGAGGCACTGGCGCAACGCGAAGCCGAAGAGCTTCGGCAGAAGAGCCTCACTGAGGCGCGCGGAACACTTGCTTGGGAGGACGACAAGGAAAGCGCCTCCAATGAAGGGGGGTGGGGGAGCGCTGGCGGATGGGGAACAAGCGACACAGGCGGCTGGGGAGCCGCAACCGGCGGCGACACAGGCGGATGGGGAGCCGCAACCGGCGGCGACACAGGCGGATGGGGCGCAGCATCTGGCGGAGAAACGAGCGGCTGGGGAGCTTTCCGCGGGGATCAAAGGGGGGAAGCGGAAGAAGAAACGACGCAAGCTGAGGTCGAACCTCCTGTTGTCCCTCTTGGACGCCCTCCGCGCCGCCCTGCATTAGGACCACCGCCACCTGACATCCCTTCTGGTAGTGACCCCTGGGACACCATTGACTGGGGTAGTGAACCACTCACTCCACGACGCACTGTCTACGGACCTGCCCCTGAACCGCGCGAACCGACATTTGTCCTTGGCACGATCCCCGGAACCAACATCCCCTGCTCCATCATTCGCGACAGAGAATTTCTCACCCTAATGTTAACAACGGCGAACGAAGAAGATGAAGCAGAAGAAGCAGCGGCGACACCTGCTCAAGCACCTGATGAAGACCCCGCAGAAGCACTCGCACGCTACATGCGCACCTCCGGATTTCGCGCTGACGACGCCATCTGGCACCAGCGCCTAGGTCACCCCTCGCGCGTGACCCTGAAGAACTGCATCGACGCCGGCGTCTTCGCACCTGGCGCACTGCTGCGACCTGACGGCTCCGAAGTAAGAGGCGGAACTCACCCGCGCACCTGCACCATCTGCCCCGAGGCTGCGCTAAGTCACCAGCCCTTCCCCCTGCGTGAGCCAGGAACCAACCGCTACGCCAAGCTAGAGAAAGTTTACAGTGACTTTCTCAACGTGGGACACTGCGGCATCAACGACGAACTCTACACGCTCACCTTCGTCGATGCTGGAACGCGCCATGTGTGGGTCGTAAACGTGGAAGCACGCAGCAGAGCATACGAAGCATTTCGCTTGTGGCTGGCGCACGCGCAGCGGCAGTCCGGGGAGAAATTGAAGATCTGGCAGTCCGACGGCGCGGCAGAATTCAGGAGCAAGGAGCTGCAGGATTACCTTGCGCAAAAGGGGATCGAACATCACGTTTCCCTCCCCTATGCACACCAACAGCAGGGCGTAGCAGAGCGCACGAACCGCACACTCATGACGAAGGTGCGAGCGCTAATGAGGCAGTCGAAGCTTCCGCCGATCTACTGGACCTACGCAATGCACCACGCCGTGCGGGTGCACAACCTGCTGTCAACCACCGCGATCACCGGCAACTCCTCACCGCACGTGAAGTGGACGGGGAGGAAGGGCGACACATCCATGCTCCGCGTGTGGGGGTGCATGGTCCAGTACCGCCCACCGACATCAACCATCGGGAAGTTCAAGAGCCGCGCACGTTGGGGGATCCATCTCGGGATCAGCCACGAGTACAAGGCGTGGATCATCCTGGATCTCCTGAGTCAGAAAATCAAGAACGCGCGCGACGTCATCTTCTACGAGCGCCTCTTCCTCCAGCAATTCCGCGAAGACGAGCAGACGAACGTGAACCCCGTCTACGCCAACGACGGCCACAGCTACGCCTCACCTGAGGACGAAGCCGCAGCAGCAATCCTGGAGCAGGACCCCAGAGGCGAGTTCACAAGAGGCGATCGACACGACGACGACGACGACGATAATTCAGGAGAAGGAGGAGCGGGTGCAGCAGGGAGCGCAACAGAAGGAAGCGGAAGCGGAAACGGCGGAGGAGCAGCACCGTCAGCCCCACCAGAACCAGAAAGCGACGATGACGATGTGCAGGAAGTCATCCCGCAACACCGCCACAACAGCACCGTCACCGGAATGCAGCTCCTCGGGCTCCATGCTGCCACCTCAACGGCGCCGCGCATCATCGAGCCTAAGAACCCACGACAAGCACTTACGGGACCTCACAGCAAGGAGTGGCGTGAGGCAATGGATGCGGAGATAAGGGCACTCGAGTCACGCGACACCTGGGTACTCGTCGACCGTGCAGCAGTGAAGGGGAGAAGAATCCTCTCTGGCAAGTGGGTCTTCCGCGTGAAGACCAGAGCTGACGGGACGATCGAGCGCTTCAAGGCGCGCTGGGTAGTGCGCGGCTACGACCAGAGGCACGGGATTGACTTCGATCAAACGTTTGCGCCGGTGAGCCGTCACACATCCGTCAGGATACTTCTCGCCATCGCAGCCGCACGACATCTGCCGCTCCGACAGATCGATGTCAAGAACGCATTCCTGTACGCGCTCGTAGACGCAGTGATCTACGTGGAGCAGCCGCACACATACGGCGAAGGAGATTCGCGGGTCTGCCAGCTGCGGAAGTCCCTTTACGGGATTAAACAGGCGCCGAGACTCTGGCAGCAGTATCTGCACAACATACTGCTTGAAATCGGGTTCAAGCAGCTGCCTCACGATCCTGGGATGTATCGCCGCGATTTCCGCGGCGAGTACATCCTGCTCACAGTCTACGTCGACGACCTCCTCTACACAGGGTCAAGCAACGAGCTGCTTGAGCAATTCGAGAAAAACCTCGCAAGGCGCGTCGACATCACCTGCAACCATGACGTGAAGCAGTTTCTCGGGCTCAACATCACCTACTCGCCAGAAACCATTCATCTCTCAGCGGCAAAGTATGCAGAGGAGCTTAGCAAGCGCTTCAACATTGCAGCTGCACCACTCTCCACCCCTTACCGCACTCCAGGACCCAACCATAAGCCTGACAACAAAGCCCTGTCCCCTGCTGGGCTTCAAACCTACCAGCAGCAGTTGGGATGCTTGCTCTTTGCATCTGTTACCTGCAGGCCCGACCTTTCCTACAGCGCGAACCAGTTGGCTCAGTGCTCTCGCAAACCAACGGCTGAGAATCTACTAGATCTCCAGCGGGCGCTCCAGGAATTCATCAGCAGAGGCGGAATTCATCGCAGCAACAGCAGCCGTTCGCGAAGGCCTCTACCTTCAGGAGCTTCTGCAGGAGGCGAAGATTCCAGCCTCGACGAACTTCCGCCTGCACTGCGACAACCAGAGCGCGATCAGGATCGCGAACAAGCCGGGATTCGTCAACCGCACCAAACACATCGCGCTGCGGTACTTCTTCGTCAAGGACGAAGTTGACAAGGGCAAGGTTGACCTAACCTACTGCCCAACGGGTGACATGGCAGCTGACTTCCTCACGAAGAAGCTGTCACGTCAGCAGTACCAGCACTGCTCCGAACTCAGCGGGGTAGTCAAGAGGGTTAAGACTCGCTACGGCCAGGAGTGAAGGGGGGTGTTACGAATAGTGATTGTTGAAACACTATTACACACTCCTCACCGCAGCAAACGGAGCACGTACTACCGAGAATGAATACGGACAGGCGGAGGTGACACGAAGAGTCACACGGTTACGAAAGGATCTGGACCGTCGGGCAGACAGCATCAGGCAGCAGCAGTGGCGAGGATTCTGCCCGAACAGTTTCGTAACTGTCAGGAGTCGCACGGTTGGATTTCGCTGCAATAAGGGAATGTACCCCTTAGAGTACATGGCTAGTTAGGTCGATTGGTATTCCCTTGTAATCTTATTTATATCCTTTGTATTGCATGTTTTTATCATCTCAAGCATTTACATTCACTCTGCTATTGAGGTCAAGGGCCCACCACCACTAGATTAGAACTTGGCGAACCTTCCTGAGGTGATCCTGAGGGCGATCAACTTCTGATCGTATCAAGCCCTAAGGGGAATGTACCCCCTCAGGCTATCTAGGACCTTTCGTATTCTCGTGTATTCCTATATATATATATATACATATATATATTTTAATGATTTTCCAGTCAGCATCAGACAAAACATGTCCAATGCTGGGGGGGCCCGTCTGATGCATCAGGCGTCCTGAGATCCTAGGGAGAGCCCTGGTGTAAACCCCTGTACCGTTTTGCAATATTCACTTCTGTCGAGATTCAAATCTCATTCTTCTGACAGGGTCTGTACCCGACTTCACTAGCAAACTTCCGCTGCTACACTCTCATGCGATCAACCTGAGACGATCCTATAAGTCTGTCATTTCAGATTAATAGAAACAAGCTACAACCTTATTTGGAAAACGGTATTAGTAGTGAACTGAACAGATACTGTAGCTCTCTTTCTTGCATTACCTGCTATATAGTCTTCGCATTGCTCGTTCTACTGTATTTCACTCGTAACAGCGGGGAAGTGGCAACTTTTGTCAGCTTTGCACCTTCACTATTGCTTTTCTGCCGGTCGATCCCTCAAACGCTATCGCACCGCTTAGTGCGTGTCCCTAAAGTACGTCCGAATGCGGCTCAACGTGGCTCGGTACGGTCTAGAGCAGTCTTTTTAAACTTTAATATGGTCCGGTAGAGTATTTAAAAAAAACCAACGTACTTTCGGGACCCGTCCTTAGGATATTCACCGCTTCTGCCGTCGCCTAGCGCCGTTCGGATTGGGTGTAGGTGGGCGGTCCTTCCGGCTTCCACGGCCCCTCCATGGCGGCGAGTCCGTCAGCGACAGCGGCGGCGGAGGCGATGGGGCGCTCCGCGCCGGCGCCGTCAGTCGCCTTCAATCTCAACGCGCTCGCCGTGCCCGACGCTGCAGCGCTGCCGCTGCCAGGTTCGCTGCAGATTGCCTCGCGAGGTGAATCCAACTTCAACGGCTTCGCCTGCTCCACCTCGCCCGCCCTTGCCTCCGCTAGAAGCGCCGAAACAACCGGGGAGCCGCCTTCGAGCGCGCGTCCCCCCGGGTCTGTGCCCCCCGTGCAGTCCACCGCCGTCCCCTCGCGCCTTCCGCCCGTCTGGCCAGCCGCTGCCGTGGCGCGCGCTCAGCTTGGCGCGCTGGTCGCGTCGTCCCTCCCTGCCATGGCCTTCCCCGCCACGGCCACGCCTGGCGCACCCAACGCCACGCCCGGTAGTGCGAGCTTGCCGCTGCTGCCACACGCGCCCGCTTCCTCGGGCGCTCATCGCGCCGTCGCCCCGCCAGCGCACCGGGTCGTCCACACCGCGCTCGCACTTCCACCCGCCCAACCCTCACCGCCTCTCGCCTCCCCCACTGCCACACCCTCCCCCACTGCCACAATCGCCTCAGTCACCAGGCAACCGCACACACACTCGCTCGCCGCTGCAGCTACCGCCGGTTGCTCCCCCGCGCCCTCGCACCTCCCGTTGCACGCCCTGGCCACGCCGCCTCCACCGCCTGCTCCCCCTCCGTCTCCCCCCTGCCGCGCTGGCCCAGCGCAGGCGATGCTCCGTGCCGTGGGGGTGGCCCAGACAAGCGCGGCGGGCGAAAGGGGCAGCAAGGGGGCGCACGCGGCAAGGGGAGGGGCAGAGCCAGTTGCAGGCGCGGAGGGGGGATGCGAGGGAGATGCGGCGGTGCAGGGTGAAGCGGTGCATGGGAGGCCGATCCCCTCGGCAGCGAGGCGAGGAGGCGAGGGCGTGGCGATGGTGGCACACGGGGATGGCCCATGGCACCACGTACAAGCACCGGGAGAAGCCGAGGGCGAAGCAGGAGAGGGAAAGGTAGGAGAAGGGGAGGCGCAGGGGCGAGGAGGTGCGGGCAGCAGGCAGTCCAGTGCGCGGGTGCTCTCCCCCAGGGCGCGGCCTCGCCCTGCGCTGCACACGTGGGCAGCGCCGCCCCTCACGGCCGTGCATGCAGCACTGCCCCGCTCCACGGGCGCCGCGCCCAGCAGCAGAGGTGGCACGGCAGTGGGGGACGAGGAGCAGCGGGCGGTTGGTTCTACGGGCGACGCACAGTGCGTGGCAGCGCCACAGCCCCATGCGCCTGCACCTGCTGCCACTGCTGCCGCACTGGCTGTGCCTGTGCCGTGTGCAGCAGCAGGTGTGGTGGGGGGCGAGACACGCCCCAGCCATTGTGCGGGTGCAGGTGGTGCGGCGCTGCAGTGCACGGGGCAGGCGAGTGTCGCATCCGCGAAGGCAGGCGAGCGCGTGTGGGTGCAGCAGTGGGGGCAGGCGGAGGGGCATGTGGCGCCCCAGGTGCTGGGGGGAGGCGCACTGGTGAAGGTGGGCAGCGCAGGAGGCTTTGCCACGCGCTACCTCTCACAGCCTCTGCATGGCAGCAGCGCAGTGCAGGGCAGTCTGGCCGCTCTGGAGCGTTGCCCTGGGGGGGCTGCTGGCGGACACGGGTTGGCTCATGCAGGCGCTGCGTGGAGGGAAGGGGCGGATGGCGGGTGGAGGGGCAGGCTCGATAGGCATGGTGGGAAGCGCAAGGAGAGAGAGGGCGTGGAGGCCGAGGACGTGGGGAGGGGGGAAAGAGGGGCAGAAGGGGCAGAAGAGGAAAGGGCAGGGATGGTGGAGAGGTGCGGCGCAGGGGGGAAGATGATGTGTGCGGCAGGTGGTGGCAATGCTCGCATGCAGCATGGCGCCATGGCATACGGTGCTGCTGCTGATCATGCGCGGGAAGGTATGGAGGGTGGTGGTTCTGGTGGCGGGTGTGGCGAATGTGGTGGCATGCCAGGGCGCGGGACAAGTGAGGGGGAGCCGGGAGGGCAGGTGCAGGTGAGGGAGCAGCATGAGGTGGTGCGAGGGCAAGGGGAGGTGGCAGCGGAGGAGGCAGCAGAGGAGGCAGCAGAGGAGAGCATTCTGGTGCAGCTGTTGAAGAAGCAGCTGCTCTCACTTGCTGAAGCCATTGCCACGCATGATGATGTGAGCCACCCGCACCGCCTTGTGTGCCTCCTCTCACCACGTGTGCTCTCATCGCCCCTTACCTTCCTTCTTTCCACCATCTCCCTGCCCCCTCCTTCTCCTAATTCTCCTCCCTCTTCCCGCTGCCCATCCATGCGCCCCTTGCTGTGTGGGTGCAGATGCGAGCGCGCTTCCTGCTGCAGCACCTGTGGCAGGAGGTGGACCCCGTGGGCTCGCCCATGCAGCGCACCGCCTTCTACTTCCTGCGCGCTCTCTCCGCCAGAGCCACCGCCACCGCGCACCTGCTGCACACGCCCTCCATGCCACAGGTGGGTGCGTGCCACAGGTGGGTGCGTGCCGCAGGTGGAAGCGTGCCGCAGGTGGAAGCGTGCCGCAGGTGGAAGCGTGCATACACAGGGCGTCACGTCTCACTCTTCCACAAGCAGCTTGGTCTGCCAACCGCTTGGCTGCGCTGCACACTCTCGCCCTCCTTGCCCGCCCCCACTGCTGTGCTGCATGGCACCGCCGCTGCTGCATGCTACTGCTGGACGCCTAACCACGTGCTGCCATGCCTCCCCGCCTCACTTGGCACGCTGCTCGCCTCTCAACCATGTGAGCACTGCACCCCTTCTCGTGCACACATTCTCTCCTGTGCCATGCGTCTCATCCTTCCCGGGCTGCCTTGTCCCTCTCCCCGTCCGCGCCCCTCCGTGCCGTGTCCCTGGTCTTGTCCGTGCGCACGGTGCGCGGCGTGCAGGAGGTGGATGACGCCCTGGCGTCGGTGCTCGCCGCCACGCCCCTGCGCCACTTCCTCTCCTGCTCCGCCACCCATGCCCTGCACCTTGCCCTCATGCCCGCCCTCACACACCCCCATGTTCACCCACACGCCCTTACTGCCCACCACACTGCCCGTGCTGCTGCTACTGACGGTGTGGGGGTGGGAATGGCAGTGAGTGAAGGACAGCGGCGTGTGGAGAGAAAAGGAACAGTGAAGGGGATGGCGTTGCAGCAGCAGCAGGAGAGGCAGGGGAGCAGCACGGAGGAGGGCGAGGAGAGATCTGCAGAGAAGCAGAAAGCTGAGAGGTGTGGGGAGGAGGGAAGGGCGAAAACTGTTGGTGAGGATGAGGAAGGTGAGGGAACAGAGAGGGAGGGGAGCATTTTTGGGGATGAAGGCAGTGCGAGGGGCTGTGGAGGAAGCAGGTTGTGTGGCAGGGAGAAGGTGGGCGGTGGAGCAAGTGATCCGTGCGTGGCATGTGTGGAGGATCCAGCATCCCATTCACACGGCAAGCACACGAGCGTGCACCCGCCGTGGCCGCGTGCGCCGGGTGCCCCCCTGGCAGTGCACGTGGTGGACCTGGGCCAGCACCACGCCGCTCACTGCCACGCCCTGCTCTCCGCGCTCGCTGCCTGTGCGCCGCAGCACCGCCCCGTGTCACTGCGCCTCACCCTCGTGCACCTGCTCCATGCCCACCCCGCCTCGCCCTGCACACACCCCTTGCTGCCTCCACACCACAGCAGCAGCGCTGACACAGACTCACCTGCATGTGCGGGCCTTGCTGCTGCTGCACCTGCCACGTCCTGTGCGGAACACGTGTGCGCGCATGCCTCGCGCACTGCCCTACCATCTGCGCCTCACGACACTCAAGGCCTTGGCCCCAGCCTCGCAGGCAGCGGCTGTGCTGCAGTGGATGCTGCACGTGGACCCGTGCCCGGTGGGGCTGCACACCCCGTGCTGCCTGGTGACCCTCATGCTGCTGCTCTGCCTGCTGCTGGCCACGAAGGCGCAGATGGTGCTGCAGTGCGTGCGAGCAGAGGGCCACCTGGCAGGCATGGGCTTGGCATGGCAGCAGGTCACAGTGAGGCGGGCAGGTTGGATGAGTGCAGCAGTGCACAGGGACAGCACACAGATACTCATTCCCTACAGCCCTCACCACCACTTCAGGGCTCACCACCCACACCCAGTAGCATCGCCCCTGCTGCTGCCACTGCCGCTGCTTCTGCCAATGCACCTGCAACACCACAGTGCTGCGTGCTGCCTGCACCTGCTCATGCTGCTCCCACTCCTGCACTCCATCCGCCTTCCTCTGTGCACCTGCCACACACACCTGCACCCTCCCCCGCATTCTCTCACCCCACTCAGGCTGCACCTCTGCTGGTGCAGCAGGTGCAGGCGGCGGCGCATGGGTTAGGCATGCATGTGAGCGTGCGCGCAGTGCAGGTGGGCATGCAGGGGGTGACACGCGAGGCGCTGGGCGTGCAGGAGGGGGAGGTGCTGGTGGTGCGCGCTGCCCTGCTGCTGCAGCAGCTGTGCGATGCCTCCGTCATCCGAGCCAACCCCCGTGACTCACTGCTTCAGGTGCGCCGCCTTGCGCCTTCCTCGCCTGCTGTAGTTCCACAGCGGGGAGGTAGATGAGTGCATGACGGTGCTTCGGATGATCCTGTAACATATGGCAGCAACCAGATTCGTTCTTCATGTTTTCTCCACTGCACAATCCATTCATATGCCAGTGTCAATGCTTGGTGGGTGGACGACAGCTGTGGCCGTGCACTCTTCCATTCTGTAATTTACATCTTTCTGCATGTGCATATTCGTGTGGCATGTGGCATGTGCATGTTGCATGTGGCGTGTGGCATGTGGCGTGTGGTGTGTGGCATGTGGCACATGTGCAGGCCATCCACTCTCTACGGCCACTACTGGTGACAGTGACGGAGCAGGAGGTGGGGCTCAACTCGCCCTTCTTCCTCAGCCGCTTCCGGGAAGCCCTGGAGCACTACTCAGCATGGTTTGACTGCCTGCACGCGCCCACGTGCCCGGCGTCGCAGGTGCAGCGCGGGGTGCTGGAGGCGCAGGTGCTGGGGGCGGGCATCAGCAACATCGTGGCCAGCGAGGGCATCCACCGCCGCATGCGCCCTGAGCCTCTGCACGCGTGGCACACCCGTGCTATGCGCCTGGGCTTTGATGTGGTGCCCATCAGTGGGGACGTGCTCAAACCCATGGCAACTGCCATGGACACCAGCAGCGAGGGCCTTCAAGTCCTGTTGAGCCGAGGCGCAGCTGTGCTCGTGTGGAAGGGCTGTCCCTTGCTTTCAACATTTGTCTTGAAACCAAGTGAGGGAGCAACTGCATCTTCGACATGACTTCTTTTTATAGATTGGAAGAAAAAGGGTTTGTTAGCTAGCCTTTACGATTGAAGGCATGCCGGTACACTAGTGTAGTCGCACAGATATCAATGTAAAAAGGATTTCTTCTTTAAATGGTAACGCTTCTCAAAATTGTGGTATTTTGAAAGCGCGACTGATTGTGATGTACGAATTGGCATTGTCAAGCCGCGCTAAACTCCCGTTTTGGAGTACGTGTCGTACATATATTGTTGTGTAGGCTGTAGTGGGGTAGCCCACATAGGGTACAACAACCCTTTTAGGGTTGCACACATGTATCTCCTTGTTTCCTAGTTCACATCATTCCTCCCAACCGCACGCCCTCCTGCCCTGCGCCTTCGCGCCGCCCTAACCCGCTGCCCCGCCGCCCCGCAGCCCCGCGCGACCCGCGCCCCACTGCCCCGCTGCCCAGCAGCTCCGCGCGACCTGCGGCGCCCTGCCCCGCGAGCTAGCGCCGCCCTGCCCCGTGCGTTAGCGCCGCCCTGCCCCGTGCGCTAGCGCCGCCCTGCCCCATGTGCTAGCGCCGCCCTGCCCCGCTGCCCTTAGCGCGCGCACGCCCTGCCGCTGCCCGGGCACTCACGCCCGCTGCCCGCCCACTCACTCCGCCCGCGCACTCACGCCCGCTGCCCGCGCACTCACGCTGCCCGCGCACTCATGCTGCCCGCGCACTCACGCTGCCCGTGCACTCACGCTGCCCGTGCACTCACGCTGCCCGCACACTCACGCTCGCTGCCCGTACGCCACTGCAGCCATCGCTACAGCCGCCATTGCTCCCGCAGCCGTTGCTGCAGCTACACTAGCAGATACTGCCGCTACAGCTGCCACTGCCGGTCCTGCTAGTGCCACTTCCGCTGCCGCCACTGCTGCTGCAGCAGCCGCCGCTGCTACTGCTGCACAGCCGCTGCTACTGCTGCACAGCCGCTGCCGCCGCCCTTCTGCCACTGCTGCCTGAGCGCCGCTGCTGCTCGTGCTGCTTGCTATGGCTACTGCTACTGTGCTTACCTTAGACGCGGAGGGTCGCCCGATCGAGTTTGAGTCCTGGCTAGAGGACCTCCACCTGTCCTGGCTAGGGATGACGTCTCACTGTACGAGCATACGTCGGGGTCCTTTACTGCCGCAGCTGAGACGGCTGACCGTGTAGCTCTTTCACAGTGGCTCTCGCGCGTTGCTACCGCCCAGCTTGCTGTCCGCAACCACCTCCCGCTAGACCAGAGGTTCCATTTTTTCCAGCTTAAGACAGCCAAAGCTCTCAATGACGCTGTCGTCAAGCGCTACTCTCTCCCCCTGTTCTGCTACCGTAGGCCGTCTCCTGCTGCCGTACCTCTTTCCTGAGCTGTCCGACTTCCCCACCGTCGCTGATCTTCTTACCCACCTGCGCTCCATTGACACTCGCCCCGATGTACATCACTCTCTACTTCCTCACGACCCGCCTCCCTGAGTCTCTTAGCGCCGTTCGTGACCACTTCCTCTCCCTAGACCCCACCGAGCTCACCCTTGCCTCGTTTGAGTCTCATCTCCTCAAGGCTGAGACCAGTGCCGTCGCTGTAGCTGCCTCTCGTGGCACTCCCCGCTCCTCCTTCTTTGAGGGGTGTTCCCCTTCCCTCATCGCGCCTCCTGTTGCCTCTGCTGCTGCTGTTGACTTCCTTGGTCGTGAGGAGGCTGGTGCAGCGTCCGCTCCTAGCGGGAGGCGCAACAAGAGTGGGCGTCAGAAGGGCAAGGGTGGTGGGGGTGGTGGAGGTGGCGGAGGCGGTGGCGGTGGCGGGGGTGGTGGAGGTGGCGACGGTGGGGGTGTAGGAGGTGGCGGCGGTGGTGGAGGTGGAGGGGGTGGTGGAGGCAGTGGAGGTGGTGGGGGTGGTGGAGGAGGCGGGGGTGGCGGTCGGGGTGGAGCGAGTGGGGGTGGAGGCTCGAGTTCGGCTACTCGTACAACTGCGTCTGGTGGTGCAGAGGGTGGTGGCGGAGGTTCTGGGGGTGGACAGCAGCAGCAGTCGCGTCGGCAGGAGACTCCCTCACCGCAACAGCTTCGTAAGTGGGTTGCCCAGTGTGGCAGCTCCGGTGGCAGAGTTCGTTGCCAGTACCGCCGCCGCACGGGCCGCCCTGGAGAGGTGTGCGACCGACTGGGACACGTTGAGGCTCGCTGCTTCTTCCGCCTCGACGGCGCGTTCTGCGAGGAGTTCGGTGAGCAGCAGAAGACTTCTGACAGGTTAGCACTGCTCAAGAAGAACATAGATGTGTTTGCTCTCGATTGGGACCAGGTCTGTGCTGGCATGTATGCTATGTATGCTGTTTCTGCTAGTGTTGAGGGTGACTAATACTCGTGTGTGCCTAGAGCTGTTCGTGTAGAGGCTGCTTGTGTAGGGGCGTGTAAGACTGCTAGTACAGCTGCAGTTCCTACGGAGTCATTGCACACTTTCACACTGGACTCTGGCGCGTCTAGGTGCTTCTTCCGTAACTGCACCACACTCACACCGCTCACGACACCTCTACCTGTCACTCTGGCCGACCCCTCGGGTGGCCCAGTCATTGCACCCAGCTCCACTGTTCTCCCGTGTCCGGCAGCCCCCTCTGGCTCCCTCACAGGTTTCCACCTCCCCTCGTTCGCTACGAACTTGGTGAGTCAGGCTGTCCTCCAAGACCAGTGATTGGCGACCACCTCGCCACGTTCACTCGGAGGCCTGGGTCTGGCCTGTACACAGTGCGCACTGAGTCTGCACAGGTGGCTGCGTCTTGCTCGTGCCGGCTACTCACACAACCGTCTCTCTTCTGGCACCATTGCTTGGTCACCCCTCCCTACAGCGTCTGCGTAGCATGCACTCCCGTCTCCTTGACTCTGGCCTCCCCAGGTCCCTGCCCCCGCTCCCGCAGTCGCTTGCGCCGCCGTGCCTTCCCTACGTCGAGGGGCGGCAGCGCGCAGCTCCTCACTCCTCGTTTCCTCCGACCACTGCACCTCTGTAGACACTCCACATGGACGTGTGGGGCCCTGCCCGCGTCAGTGGATAGGGCCGGGAGTGCTACTTTCTGCTAGTTGTTGACAACTTCTCGCGCTACACCACGGTCTTCCCCTTGTAGAGCAAGGAGGATGTCCGCAGTGTCTTGATCCCTTGGATCCGCGCAATCCGTCGCCAGCTGAGCGCACGGTTCCCGCAGGACCTCGCGGTCCTGCAACTGCACTCTGACCGAAGTGGTGAGTTTTCCTCCCACCTCTTTGAGGACCTTTGTCGTGAGGAGGGCATCACCCAGTCGTTCACGCTTCCAGCCTCTCCACAGCAGAATGGGATTGCAAAGCGCCGCATTGGCTTGATCATGGAGGTTGCTCGCACCTCCATGATCCATGCGGCTGCTCCCCATTTTCTGTGGCCGTTTGCGGTCCGATACGCCGCGCATCAGCTCAACCTCTGGCCCCGTGTCTCCAAGACAGAGCCTCGCCTACCCTGTTTTGGACGGAAGAGGTTGGCGATGCGTCAGCGTTTCGGGTCTGGGGTTCGCTTGCCCTTGTCTGCGATCCTCCCGTGGGCAAGCTCTCTCCTCGCACTCTTCGCTGCGTCTTCCTTGGCTTTCCCACCAATGCCCCGCCCTGGCAGTTTTACCACCCAGCCACGCGCCGCGTCCTGTCCTCCAGCGACGTCACCTTTGACGACACGGCGGCCTCTCGCCGCCCACAGCGCTCAGAGACCCCTCCTGGTTTTCCGCCTCGGCTGTCTTCACCGCCTCTGCAGCTTGTCGCTGTGGACTTCGGTGCTGCTGGGGGCGGTGCTACTGGAGGTGCGGACTCTGGGGGTGCTGGTTCAAGGGGTGCTGACTCTGGAGGTACTGGTTCTGGGGGTGCTGAGCCTGGGGGTGCTGACTCTGGAGGTACTGGAGTTGGAGGTTTTGGAGGTACTGGAGCGGGAGGTACTGGAGTTGGAGGTGCTGGGGGTGCTGGTATTGGAGGTTCTAGAGCTGGAGTTGCTGGAGGTGCTGGTGCTGGAGGTGCTGGTGCTGGAGGTACTGGAGCTGTAGGTACTGGAGCTGGAGGTGCTGGTGCTGGAGGAAATAAAGCTGGAGGTGCTGGAGGTGCTAGTGCTGGAGGTGCTGGTGCTGGAGGTACTGGAGCTGGAGGTCTTGGAGGTTCTAGTGCTGGGGGTACTGCGCAGCCACTACAACAGCGACTGTTTTTCTGTCCACTGCCGCAGTCGTCACTGCCGCCATCTGGCTCGGCGCTTCGCCAGGTTCTCAGTCTTCCGTCCGTTGTGTGATGCTATCATATGCATTCACGTCTGTCTGCCTCCTATCTTATCTTCCTACCTTGCATGCGTAAGAATTAGTGTCTGGCATGGTTTGGATTATCTGAGTGTGTATCAATGCTATTTTGTTTGAGAAGATAATCTGAAATGACTTCCCTGCTCAAGAGCTTTCCGACGAACCAAGGATCGCTTCAATCGGAGGTCGAATGAGAAAGCTACGAGCGATCGAAGTTCGTATGCTTTTGATATTCGGTTGTTGCCAAGTGGTTGGAAGATGCCAAACCATGTTGGCAAGTGTGGCCAAGTTGGGGTGAGGTGGATGGCATGGGTTGAAAGGTTAAATTTGGGGTGCCTATAGGGAGGGAAAATGTGTGCTTATGTGGTTTCCTTGGTTGGGGCCTCCCTTGGGACCTTCCCTCTCGTCCTCCTCATCCTCTCCTACCTGGTTTCTAGCTACTGTAATTCTTTTTGTGGTTCTTGGGAGAACATTGTGATTGAGTTAAGTTTCTGTGGCAGCATACCCCCCGTTGCGCCGAAATTCATAACTCCAGTTTTACTTCACCTATTGATACGATATATTAAAAAATGTAGCCGCGGTCTAGAGCTACAAGATATTAAAAAATGGGGAAGTTTTAACGGTGCACTTTTTGCGACGGCGATTCTTGTGAAGTCAACATTTCTGTCTAGAATTATAGTCCAACGATTTTGAGTTATTTCGGCCCTTAATCTACATAGACTCCGTCCTTGATCCTAACACGT